GTGTGTGTTGTTTGTATATATATATATATATATATATATATATATATATATATACGTCTTCACTTCACAGATTGACAGCACTGACGCTTCCTATCATATCAAGCTTTATTTGCAAAAAAAACAACACTACTTGCTGCCTGTTCTAAACTTCTTAAGTACATCACGAGCGCATGAGATTCTTAACGCCAGCCCAGATATACGGCCCCCTATGTGCAAGGCGGCCATTACTATCTCTACTTGAGGACCTCTTGCCCGTCAATTGGGTCCCATATCCGTGAGAGTGGTTTGTAAGCTAAGGTTTGCGGGCTAAAACACACCGACACAAGCCGGAATGTGCACACTACTAGTTGGGTTTTAGGGTTTAGGCATATATAACCGAGCTCAAGCGTTCATAATAGCCTCGATCATGGCACCCAAACACCATCCCGTTTCAACGCCATTGATCTTCTTGGTCAGGGACAGTGGGGCATTGTCGTTAAAGCCAAGGTTGTTTAGTAGACTGTAGATGTACGTGTGGTCCACGCATTGGAACGGCACGTCTTTAGCTGCGGAGGTTGATGTAGCGGGACAAGAGGTGTGTGGGTTAGGACAGTACTTGACATGACAGAGGGTGTGTGGGTTAGGATAGTACTTGACATGACGGTGGGTGTGTGGGTTAGGATAGTACTTGACATGACGGTGGGTGTGTGGGTCAGGGTAGTACTTGACATGACGGTGGGTGGGTGTTAGCACAATGCCTTGTATGAGAGAAGATACAGGTCTGATGCTCGGGGTATATGAATGGACAGACAATTCACATGTTAACTACAGTCACACGGCCAAATAGAACAACAAGGTATGAAAAAGTGCACTGTGTACCTACGGAAACAGAAACAACTGCAGCAATGGGCAATCAAGCCACACATCCACACATCCACACCAGCCACACGGCCAATCGCACCACGACGCACACACTACACGAACGTAATGGAACACACACAACTAACTAACCTTCACATCCACACGCGTAAACACAGCACAAAGCACACACTTATCAACATGCATACACAAACGTACATGAGCACACACAACTAACTAGCCTAAACATGCACACGCATAAACACAACACAAAGCACACACTTATCAACATGCATACACAAACGTACATGAACACACACAACCAACTAACCTACACATCTACACGCGTAAACACAACACAAAGCACCACATACTCTCTGTGATGGATGGGAGTAGTTTGCCCACTTGTGCATCGTCCAGCTTGCACACTTTAGAGGCAATGCCTTTGTAGTCCGCGGGTGTCAGAGACTGCACCTCAGAGACACCATCCAGTAGCCCAGCATCAATACCTGCGAACGGGCGAAGCAGTGTGAGTGAAAGTTATAACAGTATGCATGGGTGGTACAGATATGTGGTGGTACTACAACCCACCATACTACTACTCACTACACCCCCACCCCACCACAATACACCACACAACAACACACCACACTACTATTCACAACACCTCACCACACTACAACAAACCACTCTACAATACACCACACAACAACCCATCACCCTACAGGTGTATATACAAATGCACACATATACTAAAAATATCGCACAGTCCATTGACACGCGACTATGAGACAGTGTTTTGCACTCAGATACGGAGTGATGGCTCCGACAGCCGAGGAGTGCTACATGTGATACTGATCCGGAAGTAGTTAATGTAGGATACGAACACGCCGATGAACTGGCTGAGGGTCTATGTACGACATACAGATGAAAGGCCGGCCATTGACTATATTTAACATTGCACGTCCAGTGCCACAGATATACATGTCGGTGCTCACATCCGAGTAGGATATGAAGGTGTGGATGGAAGCACGCGGTATGCGGCGCGATGTGATTTATATATACGTGAATGTTTGGGATATACTACGGTACTTATATGTATTTATATATATATATATATATATATATATAGTACGGACGACTACTCG